GTGGGGCTCGATCCCAGGACCCTGGGATCATGATCTGAGCCGAAGGCAGACGCTTAACGACTGAGCCACCCAGGCGCCCCTGAAAGATTTTTTTAAAAAATATGCTTCAGTGTCTGTCAGATAAACAAAGGACTGGAATTTCAGGAGGCTAACTGAGACATTGTCTTTGGAAGTGAAGGAAGACATTCCAAGTGTTTAGGCACATAAGGGACCTTGCTTAGATTGGGAAGAGTTCTGTGACCTCAGAGATGGAGCACTGTCCTTGGGAGAACTAGAGGCTAAGTGAGGAGAGGGAAATTAGGTCATCACTCCATGGAGGAGAGGAATTGTGGCACCTGGAAGACTGTGGAAAGGAAGGGGAGAGATGTTCTTTATGTGCAGGGCTCGTGGGAAATGTGAGGAGGGGTAAAGACCTAGTCACAAGTTCTAGCTCACCCAAGCTGCCTGTACCCAAGTGTGGGGCTGGAGTCAGAGCTCCAGGCTCAGTCCCAGCCTCTGTCCTTAGGGTCTTTCCCTGCAGAAGAATTCAAGAGTTCACCCAGGGCTTCCTGAGTTCTCCAGGGTGGGTCCAAAACATGGAGAGGATTTGTTCCGAGGAGGGTCTTGGTCTTCCATTCCTCCATCCTCATGAGAAAGTCTCTAAGAAAGCTATCTGGGGAAAATAGACCCTTAAACTCCACATCTCTCTTGAGGGAAGTGGATTGGTCTTCAGAAGTTAAGAGGTAGGGTTCTGGGGTGTGGGAAGAAGGAAGGCCCACGGAGCCATGGTCCAGGGAGATAAGGGCTCAGCTTTCACTTCCCCAGCAGTGGCCTGAAGGAGAAAGGGGTCTTCCTGTTGAAGGGAAAAGTTGGGGACAGAAACCATACATTGTATCCAGAAAGCATCCCCAGTTGTCTTACTACCCCTCAGATGCCCCCATCTCCAAGCTGGGAGAGGCTAACCAGACAGTGTTAAGGGAATCGAGACTATTCTCTGCAGCCCAGAGATGCTGCTGGGGCTTTGGTGGCTGCAACTGTGAGGGCAACAGAGGTCTGAGGAAGAGGTCTGGGTGGGGCTGTGGTCAGACACTCTGTTTGCTACCATGGTCCCTGGAGGAGGGTGCAGATATGATCTGTATCCTACAGTCAATGTCAGTGAAGGAGGGTCTGTGCATCTAATCCCATTCTGGACTGACTTTGACCTATCAACACCCACTTTTAGATCTTGGAGATGGCTGAGGGACATCACAATCCTTCTCTGGCCACAAACCCTATCAAAAACCAAAAAGAGAGAACATCCTCTGGGACCCAAGGGCCCCCAGTTGCTCTCTGAGCATCAGAATTTCCAAAATTCAGAAAAGTGGAAATACTTTAGGAGAGAGAAATATAGGGACACCTGGCTGGCCCAGACAGTGGGGCATGCAGCTCTTGATCTCGGGGTTGTGGGCTCAAGCCCCACACTGGGTGTAGAGATTATTTAAAAACAAAAACTTAAAAAAAAAAAAAAGGTAAAGAAATATGGCTCCCAATATATGACACTCTCTGAATGTGACAAATAAGAGCCAAGGGTCCCCAGGAAAGGACCCTAGAGATGGAAACACATCTCCTTATCTGGAGGGTGGGGGAGATGTACAGAGCCCTGAGGCTAATAGAAGGAGAGGCCATTGTAGAGGTTGTGCCCAGGATCATACTCCAGGGTCTGAGTCTTTTCCTCCAGGGGAAAAGCTGACTTCTCCAGTTTGCACCAGATACCCCAAATCTATACCCTTATAACCTGTAGTACAGAGTCTTTTCAGAATCTAAAGAGCACTTTACCAGGAGCTTGTATAAGAAGATGCTTCTCTCCTCCCTGGGCCCCAAGGCCCCCCATCTTTCAGTATTCATCCATATCTTAGGATCCCAAGATCATGACACCAGCACTACATATCAGGTGACCTTTCTGGGAGGTCGTAGTTCTGTGGACAGAACCATCTGAGAAGTTTGGCCCTTGGTTAAAACCTGTATGTGATTTTCTAGGCCCGATCACAGGCAAAGATGAAGGCCTTCCTTGGAGGGCAGGCCTCAAGGGGGAAACCTGCCCTCCCTGCTCCAGACTTGGTGACAGCCAGTGCATCAAAGGTTCTGAAGGGAGTTGCTCCCGTCAAGGACTCAGACCTCTCTGGCTGGTCATGCTCCTCGAATACCTGCATCCACAGGCCAGGGGCCTTCATTCCTCCCTCTCTTTATCTGAGGTCTTAGGCAGAGGTCTTCAGGCTCCTCAACTGAGGCCTCCTTATGGGGGAAGGAGGAGAAAAACATAAAGACACTTTCCCCACTCTGACTCAGAACTCAGTATTTTCTACTCCTGCCTCCGCATCCCCACCCCTCACAGCGATTTTCCCTCCACTGACCCTCACCCTGCTCCTTGGCTATAAATTCCCACTTTCCCTTATTGTATTCAGAGTTGAGCCCAATCTCTCTCTCCTGCTGCCAAACGCCATTGGGGTGGTTCCTGTACCTATTGCAATGGCTCTGAATACAGACTTTACCGTTCCTTAACAAGTGTCGTGAATAATTTTTCCCTTGACATTTAGAATCATATCTTTTTTGTTGTTGGTTTTTTTTTAAGATTTATTTATTTATTTATTTGACAGAGAGAGAGCACAAGGAGGGGGAGTGACAGGCAGAGGGAGAGGGAAAAGCGGCTCCCCTGGAACAGGGAGCCCGATGTGGGGCTCGATCCCAGGACCCTGGTATCATGACCTGAGCTGAAGGCAGACGTTTAACCAACTGAGCCACCCGGGCACCCCTAGAATTATTTTTTTCTTTAGAACCCAACCGCCTTTCTGTGGGGGAAAGTGAAATGGGGGAGTTGGTGTTTTCTCCCATTTAGACTCTTGTACAATGTATCACCATAGTATGTGATTAAAGGCTTCATTGTTACTTTCATTTTGACTCATGGTTGTTTCAATTGCCTACTTAGACCACTCATTCAGCTAAACTCCTGACACCACCTGGCTCAACGTCTCCTACAGTTGTTGGTCAGGACACCTGCATCCCTGAGGGCCTATGTGACTTGAGGACTGGCCAGAAGCCTGGTGTGAGGAAGAAGAAGAAAGCACGACAGTCTCACTTCACCACCCTTCTGTGGATCCAAAGGGTTAGCCTCCCCCACCCCCCAAAATTGAAATAGAAAATACTGTCATTCTCTGGTCCAAATATTCTAGGAATCTTGGTATTGGGCCCTGTCCAAGGAAATGGCCCAGGTTGGAAAAACACTCTGCTCTGGGGCAGTGATGGAGGTGGGGTGTCTGCTGTTCAGGGCAGAAGCGGGGTGTCAGAGCTCAAATGGGAGAAGGCTGATGCTGCTCTTTTGAATGCCCCCTTGGCTGGCTGTCTGCTGCCCCCTCCAGCTTCTTCCTGGAAACACTCCCACCAGGGTCACCAAGGACCATGTTCTTCTGCTGCTACTTTCCTGGCCAGGCCATCTCAGTCTCTCACCCCCATTCCCACAGTTAAGCTTGAGTGTGTGTGTGTGTGTGTGTGTGTGTTCCCACAGCTCCACCCAGGGCCCTCTGCTCCCCCCAGTGAATATACCTGCCCCTGGGGCCAACTCAGCTACCTTTCCCACCACCTTCTTCCCAGCCTAGCCCTGCACATTCACACTGCTCTTGGCCATGGCACCTCCCGCCCCCATTACTAGAGTCAGGGCTCTGGGAGTCACTCTAATAGTCCCTCCCCCCACCCACTGCACCTCTCTTTCAGCTTCACTTCCTGAAAGTGTCTTAAATAATTCTTTCTTCCATCCCCAAGGCCAATGTCTCCACGTGGGCTTGGTTCTCCCCTTCCCCAAAGTCACAACAGTTTCTTCTCTGGCCTTTTGGCCTCCAGCCTCTCCTTTCCAGGTCTTCCCTACACTGGCCTTAGAGGGATCATGTTGATAACTATGTGACCCTGCCCCTTTCCTGCTCAAGAACCTTCCATGGCTCCCCATTGCCTTCAGATAAAGCTCAAGCTTGTCTGTCTTCCCCTACTGCTTGAGCTAGTTGAGGGTCAGGACTGATTCAAACCTGTCTTTTTTTTTTTTTTTATGTTAGTTTGTGAAGGAAGGAAGGAAGTGAAGGTGTATGTTGTTTCTCTTGCCTCATCTGGACTCTTTTATGCCTCTGAAGCTATGTAGGCTGTCCTGAGACCCATCCCTAGCAGGCCACCTGAATGAGGGTCCCAAGACTGTGACTCTCTGGGGGGCTGGCCAGGTGGGACTATAACAGCATTGCAGCAGGTCTGAAGGGTTAATTTGCTTCATGCTTATGCACCCCTTGCTTGCTGACTTAAGTCCCTTGATCTGTAGCAGACCTAACTGTCTTTCTTTGAGATTGGCAGACCACTAGCCTTGAGGAGTGAAGGACCAGACTTTCCCAGAAGAGAAGGCCTGACCACGTTGGAACACAGCTGCTGTGGATGCCAGCAAGTCTGCTCAGGGTCATGTCCACATATGACTAACTGTCTGGCACGTGCTTCTCCTGCATGTAGCTCCCTTCCCTTTTCCTGGGCCTTCTTTGAGTCATTAGTCTGCCATCTTCCCAGGTTGCCAGCTTCCTGAATAAAGCACCATCACTTGTTTCTCAAGTATTGATTTTTTTTCCCTTTTCCTTTAATTCCAGTATAGTAATCATACAGAATTATATTAGTTTTAGGTGTATGCGAGTATTATTGTCAAGCGGCGAGCAGCTGAACCTGAGTTCAGAACCGCTTCTCCGTCCAGTAACAGGCGTCCAGTTCAGACAACTGTGCAGGAGCCCAAGAGGCAGGGCTTGGAGGCTCTCATCCCTCCTTGCTGCCTTCCTTGAGCAAGACTTTTGCCGCCTCTGAGCCTCGGGACCCACCTGCCACACGCAGAAAGGGAACCAGTTAATCACAGTTGACTGCGGGTCTGAAGTTCTCTATAATAGGTTTGTGGCCTTTTGTTTCTACCACAGGCTTCCGGTCGAAGCTTCCTCTGCCCTCCCACATCCTGCGGCTTCCTTTCTCCGTCAGAGGGACTGCAGAAGGCAGGCTGTCCCGGGCACCACGGAGGGATGCTGCTGTGGTTTCTTATGCTGTGGGGAGGTGAGTGGGTTGAGGGGAGAGGGAACCCCACTTGGGGGAGGCACCGGAGCTTGGGGTTGAGTGTTTCCCTCTCTCTCCAGGGCCCCTGGATGCAGCTCTGAGCTACCAGCTGGAACTGCAGGAGTCCGTGATGGTGCAGGAGGGCCTGTGTGTCCACGTGCCGTGCATGTTTTACTACCCCTGGCTTACCTTTGCAACCCCCCAAATGTCCTGGTTCCAGAAAGGGGCAGATGTAAACCGTGATCCTCCAGTGGCCACAAACAAACCGAACCAGAAGCTGCATGAGAGGACCCAGGGCCGGTTCTTCCTCCATGGGAACCCCCAGACCAAGGACTGCTCCCTGGACATCACGGGAGTCAACATGGGAGACAGCGGAACTTACTTCTTTCAAATGCAGACACATTCATATCTAGATAAGATGCTTTCTCTGAATGTGACAGGTATGGTAGGGGCCCAGGGAAAGGCCCCAGAGATAGAAAAATGAACATTCTGTTCCTCTTGGGGATGATGAGGGGTAGAGATAGCCATGGCCAGGCACTGGGGCAGGATGACAAAACACTGAGGGACCACAACATCCTCTCTATCCTCACCAGCCCTAACTCACACACCTGACATCCTCATCCCGGGGACCCTGGAGTCTGGCCGCCCCGGGAACCTGACCTGCTCTGTGCCCTGGGCCTGTGAGCGGGGCACACCCCCCATCTTCTCCTGGACGTCAGCGGCCCTCACCTCCCTGGGCCCCAGGACCCACCTCTCCTCAGTGCTCACCCTCACCCCACGGCCCCAGGACCATGGCACCAACCTCACCTGTCAGGTGCACTTCCCTGCAGCTGGTGTGATGGTGGAAAGGACCATCCAACTCAATGTCACCCGTGAGTACGGGGCCAGGATGCCCACGTCCCTGAGGGCATGAGACCAGGGCAGAGCTGGGCTAGGGCTTGACAATGGGGTCTTGGTAGCTAAGGAGGAAGGGAACCCCCTTACCTGCTTCCATGGCTCCTGGGGGAAGGCCCAGCACCCACTCTTCTCTTGCCACGAATGCTGAGGTTGCCTCATCCTTCTGTCCAGATGCTCCACAGAACACAGCTATCAGGATCTTCCAAGGAAACAGAACAGGTAGGAAAGAACCTCTTTTCTCCAGGACTGGGGTGGAACCTGGGTCTCCACCAGGACAGCCCTAGCTGGGTCTCAGAGCCCCTGCTGGCTAGGAACTGCATGAGACACATACAAGAAGCCAGCCACTGAGTCAGGCACGGGGAGAGCTGTGGGAAGAAGCCCCCACAAACCTTGACTCCTTGAAGTTAACGTTCGCTCACCCACGACTTTCTTTGGTCAAATCCTCCTGCTTTTGGGCTCCGCTTTGGCCCTTTCATTGCCTTTGTTCACCATATCCCTGTCCCGAGCCCTCAGTTTTCCATCTGCTGGACAGTTGGAGCAGCTCCAGGGAAACCGTCCGAGCCTCCGTTGCAGGCCTTCAGACTGGACTCTGCCAGTTCCCTCCTCAGAGCAAGTGTGGACACTGCCAGAGGAAACACCAGCTTCACCCAGCTCATGTCTCTCCCTCTCTCTCTGCATCTCTCTTCCAAAGTCCCGAAGATTCTGCAAAACATGTCATCGGTTCTCATCCTGGAGGGCCAGGCTCTGCGTCTGCTCTGTGCTGCTGACAGCAGCCCCCCTGCCGAGCTGAGCTGGTTCCGGGGGTCCCCCCTCTGGAATGCCACCCCCATCTACAGGAGTGCAAACCTGGATCTGCCTCAAGTAGGGGCTGCAGAGGAAGGAGACCTCACCTGCCAAGCTCAGAACCCACTGGGCTCCCAGCACGTCTCCCTGCATCTCTCTGTGGTCTGTGAGTGTGGGGACCCCTGGGGGCAGGCTGCCCGGGGTCTGGGCAGAAGACACCGCTGACCCTTCTCCTCCCTCCCACAGACCCCCCGCGGCTGCTCAGCCCCTCCTGCTCCTGGGAGGGCGAGGGGCTGCACTGCAGCTGTTCCTCCCGGGCCCACCCGGCCCCCACCCTGCGCTGGCGGCTGGGGGAGGGGCTGCTGGAGGGGAACCACAGCAACGCCTCCTGGACCATCACCTCCAGCTCTGCGGGGCCCTGGGCCAACAGCTCCCTGAGCCTCAGCGGGCCGCTGGGCTCCGACCTCAGACTCAGCTGCGAGGCCCGGAACGCCCACGGGTCCCAGAGCGCCGCCTTCCTGCTGCTGCCAGGTCCGGGGGCTGTTGGGGGGTGATGCCTGGAGGAAGGAGAACTTGGCCCTTGTATTAATTTTCTAGGGATGTTGTAACAAAGTACCTTAAACTGGGCAGCTTAAACAATGGAGATTTACTGTCTTCCAGTTTGGGAGGCTAGAAGCCTAGGATCAAGGTGCCTGCAGATCAATTCCTTCTGAGGCTTTGAGAAACTTTTCTGGCCTCTTCCCTAGCTTCTGGGGTTTGCTGGCAATCTCTGGTGTTCCTTGGCTTGTGGAAGCATCACCCCAATCTCTGCCTTCATGCTTACATGGCATCCTCCTGTGTGTGTGTGTCCACACGTCCCCATCTTATGAGGACACCAGTCATATTGAGTTATGGCCCACCTTAGGGAACCCATCTTAACTTGATTACCTTTGTAAAGGCTCTATTTCCAAATAAGGTCACATGCTGAGATGCTGGGGGTGGAAGGGTGTGCCAAAGGGCTAGGACTTCAGCATATGAATTTGGTGGGGGGGCATAATTCAACCCATAACAGCCCCGGAGAGATGGGGCTGGTGGGGGAGAGCCACCAAGACCCCAAATGGAGGAGGTGGAGGCTTAAGATCCTTAGTCCTGAGGCCAGGGGAAGGGGCTGGTCCAGGGTCCACAGGGCAGCGGAATGCCACATGACTGAGTCCTGGATGGGGAGTGGGTGGGTATACTAATTGGACAGAGAGAGAGAGAGGGAAGTGGCCGGTCGGAACATGCCATGTATTGGAGCTGAGGCTTACACACAATGCAAATTTTCTGCAGGTACACCAGAACCCAGGGCCATTGGGGTCCTGGGAGCAGTTGGGGGAGCTGGCTCCATAGCCCTGCTTTCCCTCTGCCTTTGCCTTATCTTCAGGTGAGAGTGGGTCCAGGAATGGAGGGAGAGGCCTGGATTGGGAAGAGGATGAGGTTGTGGAATCTCAGAGAGCTTGAGCTAGAGGAACCTGGGCTGCCTGGAAATCCAGGAGCCAGGGAAGGAGGCTGAGTGGTGGTGTGGATCAGCCCATACCCAACTGGGCCAAACCTGGGGTATCTTCCAGCTCCTGGTCCAGCTCTTGGATTAGGGGGAGCATCTGGAGACTGGACCCACCTCCACCTACCTTATTCTATGCTCTTCATGGGTTGCAGGGGATGGTCTGCCTACTGCATGCCCCAAATAACCAAGCTGAAAGGCCTGGGGCTTTTCCCTTAGAGTGAAGACCTGCAAGAAGAAAGAAGCCCAGCCAATGCGAAGCATGGACATGAACGCAGCCAGCCGCTCAGGCTCTGGGGTGAGTGACAGGCTGTGAGCTCCTATCCAGCAAATAGCTTTTGGAAGTCACCCTCAGTATGGGAGCCTGAGCATTTCCCTATTAACATCCAATACTCCCTGAGTTCCACTTTAAATTACTGATTCAGCTGCTCTAATACTTCTCTTTCTGATGGAATATGTATATAGCCCACTTGCTTGTTGGGGGTGTTTCTGCCTCCTACATCAGAGTATCACATTTCCTTGGACTATTAGCCTTTTCTTGTGGCGTTGATTACCCACAAGTACAATGGCTCAAACTTAGTCTGTGTCAGACCCACTGGGTGCAAGGGAAGTGGTAGACTGGAGCCCTAGGGTAGAGAGACTGGGGAACCCCAAACTCACAACTCATCACTCCCACTCTGCATTTTTCAAATCTACCACTGTGTTTATTTAATATCAACTTCATTGAGGTACACTTTACGCATAATAATGCACCCATTTTAAGTATGCAGTGAAATGAATTTTAACAAATGTGTTCACCCTGTGCCGATGTCCCCAGTCAAGATGTGGAACATTTCCATCAGGTCCCCAAATTCCTTTGTTCCCCTGCTCAGTCAGCTTGACATTTCCAGCAATCACTGATTTCTATCACTATGGATTTCTTTTGTCCCTTCTGGAACTTCATATAAATGGAATCATGCAATATTTACTGTCTTTATCTGGCTTCTATCACTTCATTAAAAGATGTAAAAATCCTAAACATGTATACCTCCAATAACAGAGCATCATTCATCAAAACAAATGGATGAAAACTGACAGAACAGGGCGCCTGGGTGGCTCAGTTGGTTAAGCAACTGCCTTCGGCTAAGGTCATGATCCCGGAGTCCTGGGATCGAGTCCCACATCGGGCTCCCGGCTCAGCGGGGAGCCTGCTTCTCCCTCTGACCCTCTCCCCTCTCATGCTGTTTCTCTGTCTCTCTCTCTTTCTCTCAAATAAATAATAAAATCTTTAAAAAAAAAAAAAAGAAAACTGACAGAACAGCAAGGAGAACAGATTGGCAATTACAGTTGATGATTTCAAAACTCTTCTCTCAGTAACCTGGGCAGAACTAGTACATGCAAAATCATTTTTAAAGTTTAATTTATGTAATTGCCTGTCTTTTGTCTCCTTGGTCACCTTGGGGAATGGAACCCTTAGCATGGGCTAAATCCCCATCTTGTCGGGAATCAGGAGATATATTTTCCATTTCTTTACGTTCAAATTCTCAGTATTTTTTTTTTTAAGATTTTATTTATTTATTTGGGAGAGAGAGACAGAGATAGCGACAGAGAGCACAAGTGGGGAGGAGAGGGAGAAGCAGGCTCCCCACTGAGCAAGGAGCCCGATTCGGGGCTGGATCCCAGGACCTTGGGATCATGACCTGAGCCCAAGGCAGATGCTTAACCAACTGAGCCACCCAGGCACCCCTCTCAGTACTTTTTTCTTTTAAGTGAATATCTTTTGCAGTCAGTACAGTATAGTGGCTCAAAGCACATACTCTGGAGCTGGACTCCTGCATTCAAATCCCATCTTTCCCTGCTGACAAGCTGGATGACCTTGGGCAAGTGACACACCCTCTCTGACCTCTGTTTATTTTGGTGACATGGGAATATAACGAGTACATAGAGTATCATAGAGTAGTTATGACAAGTGTCTAACACAGTAGCTGACAGGGACTAAGCACAGTACTCATTACTACAATCAGAATCATTCCCTCCCCTAGCAGGTGAGTCCCAAGGGCAGTTTGTTGTTGTTGCTCTTGTTTTATTCCCTGTTGTATCCCCAGAGCCCAGAGAAATACCGGTTTCCTCTTAATCTGAGAACTGTTTCTCTTTGCCTCTCTGAGAGGCTGTGTGAGGTCTTCCTGTTTCATGCTTCTATAGCCTGAGGGTGTTGCGGGCACGGAGCGGATGTGGGCTGACATCTGACTGCTCGGTCTTCTAGCCGCTGCCCTGCTTTAGATTTCAAAATATCTCATATCACAAATGTAGTACTCCGTATTTGTTTTCTATTTGTTTAGTAACTACCTCTCCTAGAAAACCACAAGCTGCCTGGTCTCAGGAAATGTACTTGCTGTGTTCGTCACTCCACACAGCATCTTGTACTCTGTCCAGACAAAGGATGGTACTATAGTTAGAAAGAATTGGTTTTGAGTCTTGGCTCAATGGTGCATTTATACATTTATATAGATGTGTGTCTTTTTTTTTATTTTTAAAATAGGTTCCACACCTAGCGTGGAGCCCAACCCGGGGCTTGAACTCACCACCCTGAGATCAAGACCTGAGCTGATATCAACAGTTAGATGCTTAACCGACTGAGCCATCCAAGCACCCCTATATAGATGTGTGTCTTTAGGGCAATGTATATCATCTCTCTTAGCCTTAGTTTTATTATTTGTGTGATGAGTATGATAATAATATCCTCTCCCAGCTTTCATTTTTTAAAGAATGTAATGCAATTAATATAAATACTAAAGGCTGGTCAATCTTAATTATTAAACTTTTAATAATAAATTAATGGGTAAGTGATAAAAGTTCCATCAGGGCCAGTCCCCTTGTGGTCCTTGGCTGTTCCCCCCTCCGCTCCCCCCCCCCGACCCTATTGACCAGCTCTGAGTCCATCCTCTTCCTTCCACTCAGGCACATCAGCACCAGTCCTGGATGGACAGCCCTGCAGACCACCCAGCTCCTGCTGAGGCTAGCCCCATTTCAAGAGAGGAGCAGGAACTCCACTATGCTCTCCTCAGATTTCCCAAGCTGAAGCCTCAGGAACGGGAAAGCATCAACACGGAGTACTCAGAGATCAAGACACACAAGTGAGGAACTGCTTTTCTCATAGTTCTGGAGGCTGGAAGTCTGAGATCAATGTGTCAGCAGAGGACTCTCTCCTTGGCTTGTAGTTGGCTGTCTTCTCCCTGTGTCCTCACCTGGTCTTCCCTCTGTGTGAGTCTGTGTCCTAGTTTCTTCTTCTTATAAGGACACCAGATGTACTGGATTAAGGCCCACACTAGTGACCTCATTTTAACTGAAGTTGCCTCTTTAAATACCCTATTTCCTACAGTCTCATTCTGAGGTACCAGGGATTAGAACTTCAACATACTAATCTTATGATTTCTCAACCTTGACTATTTTAAAATTAATGGCCTTCTTCACAGTGGTTTGAATCTCCTAGTATGTGTGGAAGACCCCAGGACTTGTGTCCAAAAGAACTGCGTTCCAATCCGTCTATGCCATGGATCACTTTATGACTCACTTTACTGTTCTACAAAGCAGGGAAGTCATCCTTATCTAGCCAGATGATCATGAAAGATCTATGAGAGGCTCCAAATAAAACATTTAAGTCCTGACACAAAGCTTTCTGTGAACTCTAAAGACGTGTGTGTCAGGACTTCTGTTAGACACTTTAACAGAAAGTTTCTGCTAACGATTTCTCTGAAGGCTTGGAGGGGCCAATCCCAAAGGTCACAGAACTTTCCCACCAGGATCAAACACAAGGAAGGATGGCTGCCCTTACCACTTCTATTAAACAGTATTTTGTAGATCCTTTCCAGTGCAATAAATGCAAGAAATAGAAATAAGAGTTATCCAGATCATAAAGTAAGAAGCAAAACAGTTTTGGGGCGCCTGGGTGGCTCCATCAGTTAAATGTCTGACTTCAGGGTCATGATCTCAGGGTCCAAGGATTGAGCCCTGAGTCAGGCTCTGCCCTCAGGGGGAACTCTGCTTCTCCCTCTGCCTGCCACTCCCCCTGCTTGTGCTCTCTCTCTCTCTCTTTCGCTCTTGCTCTCAAGTAAATAAATAAAAAATTTAAAAAATAATAATAATAAATAATTGAAAAAAAAGAAGAATGGATGAGCAAACTGCGGTGTAGACTCCCAAGTGGAATATCGTGCAGCTGCCACAGGGATTACGCTTGAAAACAAGGTGCTAAAGGAAAAAGCCAGACACTAAAGGACAAACATTGTTTGATTCTGCTTCTCTGCGCTATCCAGAACAGGCAAACTCATGGAAACAGAAAGTAGAATGGGGGTTGCTCGGAGCTCGGGATGGAGGTGGGCGGGGGTTGTTGGGTAACTGCGCAGAGTTTCTGTTGGGGATGATGAAAAAGTTCTGGGAAGAGGCAGTGGTGAGAGTTACACCACATTGTGAGTGTACCTAGTGTCACTGAATTGCACCCTGTGTTAAAAAGGGCAAGTTTTATTTTTGCAAATATTTTACCACAAAAAAACCTCAAGGGAACGGGAAGGTGCTGTTGTTATGGAGACAAGAATAAAACAAGTAAATAATAAATAAAATTAGAGCGTATCACCTATCGATACAGGCTTGGAGGAAAAGCTCTCAGGCGCATCAGGCTGGGTTTCCTGGGGCTGAGACCCCATGGAAGGCCACTGCAGCCCGCCACAGGATTCTGGAAACCTTTGCAGAGAGCAGACACATGCTGAGACCCTCATTTTGGCAGGATCCCCATGGCCACTCTGTTCAGAATCAGCCAGACTGGGCCCAGGGCAGCAAAAAAGAGATGCACAGCCCTGGGGTCGGGGGGCCGGTGCAGGCAGGAGGTGGTGGTGTGCTGGGCCAGGGATGCGGTGTAGGTAGGGAGGATATGTTTTGGATCTATCCAACAGGTCAAGCCAACAGCATGTTCTAATGGATGTGGGGGGTGGGGGGAAAGAAAGGAACAAGGACGATGCCCAGTGTCTCCCCTGAGCAGCTAGAAGGACAGAGTCCTGTTCCGGGGAGGACTTAAGAGAGCCGGGTTTTGAAGGGTGATGTTCATTCTGAGAAGCCACTTGACATCCAACTGGGGATGTCAGGGAGAGAGCAGGAGTATGAATATCCAGAATCAGAGGAGGGATCCAGACTGGAGACATTAAAATGCACAGCTTACGTGACTTGATAATAGATCAAGTTAATAAAAGAGTATGACCTTTCCTCAAGAAATTAGTAATAGGGGCGCCTGGGTGGCTCAGTCGGTTAAGCGAC